TTTTTCCCCCCCCCCCCCCCCCCGGTAGAGCCGTGTCTGTTCGACGACGATCCGAGATGCTCCGTCCCAGCGTTGCCACTTATTCCACTTGATTTACAATGCTCGTATGTTCTAAGCACATCCTCTTTCCCCATCCCCAACCCCCCGTGCTTGGGACTTGCGACCACTACTACTGATGTCGATCACACGTGACCTCATCCTCCTCCAACCCACGGAGAAACCGTCCGCTCCCCTCCCCTCTTCCGTACCCCTATCGTCAACGCATGCTTGCGACGGCGCCCCTTTAATAAAAAACAATACAGGGAAAGCGGTACGTGAATGCGGTGGCATTCCTGGAGGATCTGTGTCTCGGCAACATCCTCTCCGACGTGGCGCACGACGGCTTGCGAGGCGCCAAGGTTTCCCCCTCCGCCAGCGGCGGCAGCAGCAGCAGGTGATGACTACCATGGTATGGCCGTTCAGCAGTGCGCTCCCACTTGACAAGGAAGAGTAACTTCTGTTGGGAACACTTCGTCACCCCCCCCCCAACACACACACCCTCCTTGTCCCCGTGATTTGGCCGGACGACAGCGAAGAAGCTGGCGGAACAGCGGTAGCGACCGCACCCATCGTGCCCAACCTCCGAACGTTCAACCTCGTCCTGGCCACCCTCGCGTCCGCCGGAAAGTGGAAGAAGGCTCTGGACGTATCGGCGCCGATGAGGGCGGGGAAAGACCCCGCCGCCGCCTCCGCCGCCTCCGCCGCCTCCGCCGCTGCCGCCGGTGGGAGGGGGGGGGGACGGGGACGCGGAGGCGGTGGAGGAGGCAGGGGCAAGGGGGACATGGCGAGGAACGCGGTGAAGAGCGTCGCCGGGGGACTAACGGCGGACGCGGAGACATACACGCATCTTATCGTTGCTTGCGGCAAGGGCGGAGAGCCCGATAGGTGAAGAGGATGGAGAGAGTGAGCAGCAGGTTGAATCCTGGGGTGTGTTGTGTACGTGGGCCGAGTCGGGCGGAGGGGGTGCGCGAGAGAAGGACGTTGGTGTCGTGCGGGATTACGGGGTAGGAGAGAGGGGACGACAAGAGAGTAGATTGGCATCGAGATTAGACATAAACATAGACAGGCAGGCGGGCAGACAGAGGCTCGGACCCTATTCTTGTCGTGTCCCAACAGCAGAGTGGGGCGACGGCGTTAAGCTTCGACGAAAGGCGATTCAGGTACCGCTGCGACAGGCCGCCCCTCGGTTCATGTTTGTTCGTTGTCGTTCGTATCCTGTCTTACTCCCTTCCTCTTCGAGAAGGTCGCGCCAGCTCTTCGACGAGATGCGGAGCAGGGGCATCTCCCCCCCCGCGGAGACGACGGCGGCGCTCATCAAGGCCCTCGCCAAGGGCGGCCGGGGCTCCTCCGAGGCTCTCCGTCTGCTCGGCGACATGCGGGCGGCGTCAGCGGCGGCGGCGCGGGGCGGTGCTGCGGGCCGCAGCGGAGGCGTGTACCTGGGGGAGGGTATGCCCTCCGAGGGGATGGAGGCTGCTGCCAGGAGGAAGAGTGAGGCGGCGGCGCAGAGTCTTGGGTTCGAGGGCGCGATAGAGGCGTGCGCCGCGAACGGGGAGTGGCAAAAGGCGGTTTCCCTGCTGGACGAGATGCGCCAGGTTTGTGTGCTATTGTAGTGCGGATTGACGAATACTCTGGAAAGGTTCGGGCGGACGGTTTTGAAAAAATCCGCGCCTCTTCTTCGGGAGCCTCTGCATCCAATACCGCAGTGCAACGGTATGGTTTATTTAAAGAGATGGTGGTGTCATGCACGTGGCCATCATATATGTGTTTTTTTTTTTCGAACGGGTATGTAGATGTGTGAGTCCTGCATTCCACAGCAAGTCGGAGGCCACGTCACGCCGGAAAGATACGCCGATGACGGGACGAACGCAAGCTCGCACGATCAATGTGATTGCTTATTTGTTGTCTGGCCGTTCAGGTAGTGGATGTGTGCGCCTCAATTCACTCTATACCCGCTGCTCTCGCGGCACACCAACGATGGTTTTTCGTTTTTTCTTGCAGACCAGACTTGCGTTCTTCTGCACGTTGCTCGTGTGTTCGTTTCCGCTGGGTTGGGGGAGAGAGCGCCCCTAATGTTGACCGGACTTTCGTCGTCATGGGCGTTTGATGTCTGTTTTTTTTTTTGGCCGTCGCCGCACCCCGCGTTGTAACCGGATTTTTGTCATCATCCTCCATCCTGACGGGCGTTTGCCTTTTTTTTCTGTTGCTCTTGCCGTCGCACCGAGCATAGTCATCGGGTTTCGTCGCCATCGTCCATCCTGACCCAAGTTTCTTTTCATGTTTCTTTTCTTTACTTTTTCCGTCGTACGGCGCGTTTTCACCGTTTTTTGTCCCCATCCTCCATCCTGACCGGCGCTTTTGCCCGCTTTTTTTCTTCTGTTTTTTTGTTGATGTTGCCGGCACACCCCGCGTCGTCGCCGGCAGGCGCGGATGTACCCGGATGCCCGGTGCTACGGGAACGCCATGCGAGCCTGCGCCGCGGGGGGCAACTGGCAGCTGTCCCTGGCCCTGCTAAACACGATGAAAAAGGAAGGCGTCACTCGCACCGCGTTCAACTACAACATCGCCATGCAGGTGGGTGGAGATTTGGGTCACAAAACAATCGCGTCTTCGGCTGCCGATGTCTTTGGGTGGAGTCAATCAGTTCTGTGTGCCCCAACGGGAAAGCGTTGTTTCGTCATGGTGATCTCTGCGTCCGAACTGCAGATATCGATTGCACATGCCCCCCCCCCCCCCCCCCCCCCCCCCCCCCCCCCCCCCCCCCCCCCC